TGTTTCTGGGAAATTTCTTCTTTATGAACCTTTTGGGATTGGATACCATCAAGGCATAATCTTCTGATGTGAGATCATATTCTTCCAGGCTGAGGTCTTCATCCTCCATAACGGCTTTACTTTTTGACAAGAGAGCCAACGAACCGAGACCGGAAACGACATTCTTTTCTTGCACCACGTTTTTCTCTTGAGACTTGAGAATTCCCACCAGTTTCGCCAAAGAGTATGATTTAAATTGCTCATGGGCTTTAACTGTGGAAACTACTGCTCTCCACTTAGACCTTAGACCATTCAGGAATGTAACTTTCTGTTCGATGAGCTTCCTTTCGATATCATGTTTGATCATCTTGCTGAGAAGATGATTGAAGCGATCGAATGTCTGGGTTACAGATTCTTCAGCCCCTTGTCTAAATTCACCAAACTCAGATAGAAGCAGAGTTTGAATAGAATGTTCGAGATCTTCGTCTGTAGAATACAATTCACGAAGTCTGTCCCATACATCCTTCGCCGTCGTGCAAGAGCTAACCAATCTGAATGTATCGGACTGAAGGGCGAACCGGATCAATCTTAGTGCTTTGATATTGCATTGGAACTTGTCTTTTTCATCTTGTGCAATGTCTTTCACGTCCTTAAGCAGATCATTGTATTCTTTTTGAGTTTTAATGACTCTGGACGTTGCAGAATGAAAAAACGGTCCGTTGGTGATGGCTTCCCAAATCAAATACCCATTTTCCTCCGACCCAATAACGTAGTCTTCGAAATGATGTGCCCATACTTCATAATCGTTGGTGTATAAGATCGGAATCCTTGTCGTCGAACCAATGCTGTTTGAAATATTGATAACGTTTGATTGTGTCGCGTCCATTATGATCGTAAAAACCTGTTCAGAGATCAGACTTGTAATAAACCGGATTAGGGCAAAATAATAAATATCAAGATACGTCAATAAAGATGACGGCTCAATAAATATTAATGATTGCGGAAAAACCCTAATGAAAATCTTTTTCACAGAAAAGATGTGTATCAATTACACAGCCTCCTGCTCTGATACCAATTGATGAGATTATAGAGTCTTTTAATCTATAGAGATCGATTAGATCTTGAACAAGTAAATAAACAATGACGGTTCAAACACAGTAAAATAATAGAACAAGATTGAATCAAACGAGTCGAATGATTAAGACAAAATCCTCAGAAGAGCTCGATCAAGAACATCAACTGTAGAGGATTGGAAGGTTACAAGTATTATCAAATAAACCTTTAGTCGTCTGGAAAATATCGTATTCTCAGATCTCTCAAACCTTAACCTAATATGCATGCAAGCATAAGCTTATATACAAAGCATAAAAGACATACGGTTGGACAGGCCCAAACCGTAAAACAAAGAAATAAAAACAAACGAGCCCAAAAGACGCAATCTTCTAAGCCCAACATACTACACAATGTAATCTTCTAACTGTTTTTATGATTTGAATGTTGTCTTGCATGCTAGTTTAGGCTTTATGCTTTGGAAAAACAACATTACATGTATAATTAGAGAAAACTTAGATCCAAAGAATTAGGGTTGTATGTGCACCATAGGAATGTTAGAGTGCATAAAACCCATAATTAAGCAAGTTTGAGACTTGCTTACCAGAAAATGAAAAGGATGAGAAGTTGTTTTTGGATCTACTAGCTTCCTTCTAAATCTCCAAGCTCCTCCTTCTTCAACAAGCTTCAAAACACACAATCTTCACTCAAAACAACTCACAAGTTCATACAAGGCACTAGGGTTTTGTGGATTAGGGTTTGAGACTTGGAGGCTGGAAATGAGACTAGCAAGTGGGGTTTAAGATGCTTAAATAGGGTGCAAAACACCAAAATTAAGGTTTCATTATGGCAGACCTACTCATCGATTCGAGGCTCTCAACTCGTCGAGTAGGCGACTTAAAATCTCGCGGCCAATCTCGTTTCTACTCGATGAGTCTGGGGCTCCCAACTCGTCGAGTAGCTATTCAAAAGTGAATAAATTATAATTAAATGTGTACCAGGAACCAGACGTTACATTTTCTTTGTCATTCCCATAGAATAATACTGTCCACTCGTCCGCACAATCGATGTTAATCCAAATTTGAACCTAACACTGAATAATACCCTAATCAATAGAGTTTTTCCACATTTAACATTTTTTTATTTAGTTTGGAACGACAAAATTCATCAAAGAGATGTTGTTTACTAGAAGATGACAAAAGAGTTTATACCGTGTTTAGCTTAAAACCAAGAAAAAAAGGTTTTTGGGATTAGGGGTGGTTCTTGGTTGCACATTAAAATACTTTCAATTTCAATAAATGGATAATCGGGTAAACGAATAAACAAAGAACATAAAAAAAATATTAACAAAGCTACTTATAGTTACAATACAGAAGACACTCAAACTAGAATAAGAAGTCTGGAAAAACTTATTAATAACATGTATATTCATTTGAAAACATAGAAAAATTTTCTTTATATTGTGAACTTCACATCCGGATTCCTTATCGATTTAAGCCACATATATGCCATCACGCGCGAGGATATGCTCCACAACACGTCCGGGCCTTTTACCATCACACGCTTTCCTTTCTTTCCCGCTTTTCCAAGCCCGTAAGCTACCAACCATTGGATCGACGTTAGCCTCTGCTTTTGTGTATCCCAGTCATTCTTTTTCCCTCCACTTCTAAGTTTCAAACCACCAACATTCAGACCCGCAACTTTGAACTTCTTCTCTTGAGTTTCTTGAAGTGGTTCATCTTCAACTGCTATGGCATGAATCAACGCGATAAGTGGACCCCCAACCGCTTCATATTGTCTTAAAGGATCCCGCATTTGAATCACAACCGATATGGTTATGGTTTCTTCTTCATTCGTGGAAGTTACAATGTTGTTATCTTTCATCCAATTTTCTAGGGGAATCGCGTTCTCGAACGAACTACTATTATCTTTACTATTTGGAGAAATATCAAACGGGGTGTTTGCGTTTCCTTCAGTTATATCGGCTTGAACTTTCAATGCTTCAACCGCCATTTCTTCCATTTTTTGTAATGAAAACGCGAGAATCTCGTCTCCGGTTATACCATTTCGGCCTAGATTTCTATGAGTTCGCATCAACTAGATGTTTTGGGTCATAAAAGTTAATTTACACTCTAACAACTATTAGTTCTTTTTGATTTTTTTTTTTAATTTCTTAGTGTTTAGTTACATAAGTTGATTTGAATTTGGTTGCTTATTATTTTCCTATTTTAAGTTGTCACCCAATGTAAGACCTAGGTTCTTCTGTCACTACAGGACAAGGCAAGGTTTTATACTGCAATACATTCTTTCTTTAATGAAGAGGTAAAAATGTAAAGCTCAAAATAAGTTTTGTTTCATGTTAATTGTGATTGTGGCTTTATTTCTATAAATAATTTAGTATTCTATATTTTTGCGTTCAGGCCATGTTTTGTAGAGCTACTACTAAGCTTTAGAAGTTAAGTGACTAAGTTACAAAGATTATAGAAGAAAGGCGAAAACCGGATGTATTTTCTTTGGTTTAGTAGTTGTTTTACAAATCATGGTTTGATTTCATTCGGTATAAATAAGACTTTAACTTTTTGTATATTTGAAAAATATGTGACCTTTATGAAGTATAATAATATGCAAAAAAAATTATTTTTTTTTAACAAAGTTGATGTTAAACGGCTTGTGTTACCATTCATAGCAATTTACTTTGATTTCATTTGTAAAATGTTTTTTTTTTAATTTCAAAAATAGACCAACAAATAAAAAATATATATTCTTTTATAGCATTTTAGTTTTCTTAAACAGTCATTTATAGCATTATATTTTGTAAAATAGATTATTTTTGAGTATTTTGAACATCTAATGAATTTTTTTTAAATCTTTTTTATAGCATTTTACTTTTTGGATTTTTTAAAAAAAAATCTATCAGATTCTTGGCTTGAAATTGGTACATCTGATTAAACATATTCTATACCATATTTTGGTGAGTTTTGTTGGTGTCCCTAAGAGTTGTATTAAAATCACCAAGAATCATGATAAGTTGTTTATATTCAATCGTTTATTACAAATGGTTAATAATTATGACTTTTTACAATAAAAATTTATTTATTGTTGTAACCGTAGTTCCCACGGGTTATAACCTAGTATATATATATATATATATATATATATATATATATATATATATATATATATATATATATATATATATATATATATATATATATATATATATAAATTATGTACAGTGTAGGTACCCATACGTAACATTGTTATATAAACGGACCACAAGCTTCACCCTCTGCATTTCTTGTATTTGGACTCTTTCGCGCTATATGCTCCTCTCTCTGCGCACTTAGCTTTCTTTGCTTTTTGGTATTGTGGTATTGCCGGCTTTCTTCTCTTTAAGACTAAGATCAAGGGCTCTTACAGAGTGAACACGTCATTCATATATATATATATATATATATATATATATATATATATATATATATATATATATATATATATATATATATATATATATATATATATATATATATATATATATATTCTTGCAATTCGATACCCTAATCAATAGGGCTTTTCCACATTTAACATTTTTTTATTTAGGTTGGAGTGACAAAATTCATCAAAGAGATGTTTAGTAGAAGATGACAAAAGAGTTTATACCGTGTTTAGCTTAAAACCAAGAGAAAAGGTTTTTGCAATTGGGGGTGGTTCATGGTTGCACATTAGGTGTTTGGTAAAATGCCCTAGAGAAATGTTTTTTTTTTTTCAGGAATTTGGAACTCTAAGTAGGAATACTTTCAATTTCAATAAATGGGATAATCGGGTAAGAGAATAATCAAACAACATAAAAAAAATCTTAACAAAGCTACTTATAGTTACAATACATAAGACACTCAAACTAGTATAAGAAGTGTGGAGAAACTTATTAATAACATGTTGTATATTCATATGAATACTTAGAAAATTTTTCTTTATGTTGTGAACTTCACATCCGGATTCCTTATCGATTTAAGCCACATATCTGCCATCACGCGCGAAGATATACTCCACAACACATCCGGTCCTTTTACCATCACACGCTTCCCTTTCTTCCCCGCCTTTCCAAGCCCGTAAGCTACCAACCATTGGATCGCCGTTAGCCTCTGCTTCTGTGTATCCCAGTCATTCTTTTTCCCTCCACTTCTAAGTTTCAAACCACCAACATTCAAACCCACAACTTTAAACTTCTTTTCTTGAGTTTCTTGAACCGGTTCATCTTCAAAAGCTATGGCATGAATCAATGCGATAAGTGGGCCCCCAACCGCTTCATATTGTCTTAAAGGATCCCGCATTTGAATCACAACCGATATGGTTATGGTTTCTTCTTCATTACAGGAAGTCACAATGTTGTTATCTTTCATCCAATCTTCTAGGGGAATCGCGTTCTCGAACGGACTACTATTATCTTTACTATTCGGAGAAATATCAAACGGTGCGTTTGCATTTCCTTCGGTTATATCTGCTTGAACTTTCAATGCTTCAACTGCCATTTCTTCCATTTTCTGTAAGGAAAACGCGAGAATCTCGTCTCCGGTTAAAGGGTTTTCGTTCATATTCCAAATCCCAGATGAAATCCTTTCTTTTCTTCCTGTTGTCATACCGGTAGCCATGGATTTAACTGTACTTATGGCACGTGCAGCACTGGAAGTTGCTCCTTCTTTGTTCCTCCCACTTATGATTGCTGAAGCAATCCCTTCGAATGCAATCTGTTCCGCTGTTTTACCTTCAACTTCCTCTATCGGCATCAATTGTAAGATCTCTGAGCTTAGTTCTTCGAAACCCATGGCTGCCATTTCTTGAAACATTTCAGTTCCAGTTAATTTTGAATCTAAAACCATCGGTCTTGATATCTGCATTGCTAGCTTTGGAGTGTCTTTCTTTCCCATCAGATTGTCAAGAGGATTCATGGATACCAAGTACCCGCCATTTCTTGTTTGAATCACACAACCTAATCCCTTTCCCAAATTGGGTATGAAAACCTTCTCGTCTTCACCATCAAAACTTGAATTAGTGTTTGCATCCTGTTCATACAAAGCTTCTTTTCCATCTTCGTTCTCAAGCATTTGGAAAAACTCTCGGGTCACTTTATCTTCGTCTTCATCTAGTCTTTGTGACTCTGTTTCTTCATCATATTGTTCATCGCTCTTCTCCTCCTTCATCATCGATTCAAGAGCTTTAATCTGCTGTGCGATTAAATCAAGTTCTGATAACCGATTTAGATGAGCTTGATCTTGCACGATTTCCTTCACGACTTCACTTGAAACCGATCTTTTGTCGGAATTATCCTCCGATTGTGTCCCCTCTGTCCCTTCTTTATCTAACACCTCAACGCCCTTGTCTACAACTTCAAAATCTGGAAGGTCGAGATCCTCCATCTTCGGTTCTGGCTCCTCAGGTGGAGGTGGTGGTGACACCTCCACCACTGGAACCGCCGGTTCCTGAGGTGGTTCGTCAAGATTCAGGTCGTCGATTCCTTGAAAGTCGTTTCCTCTTCCTTCCTGAGAAGGTGCATATGTGTCGGCTCGATTTTGCATTCTTGGACTAGCAATACTGAAAGATGATTTAGACTGTTTACGCCCCATTGAAGGAGAGAAAAGTTTGGATTTACCCGATTTTTGTCCTTCGACTTGATTATAAATATTAGCTCCTCCTTCTTTCTCCATAATCTGAAACCCAAGTTTCATGACTAATTCACCTCCTTTCGCTTTTCCAGACAGATTAAAGCTCATATCCCATTGCCGAATCCTTGTTCCTTCGATATTCTTTTCTACAGATTCCAGGATCAATTGGCTCAAGTCAACAGTATGCCTTCCAAAATCAAGCTCCTCTGCATCAACTGCAAAAGCATGGATTACAAAAGGGCGAGGCTCGAATTTGGCCTTGGCATTTCCACTTCCTGCAGGAACGCTGTACACGTGGCACCTGAGAAACAAAGTCTCTTCGAAGTCAGCAGCTCCTTGAGACACCCTTGAAGGCATTGTTTGAACTGCGCCGTCTTTTGTTTCTTTCTTCCTCACAGAAACAGACAACCGGAGCCCGTTCATTGATGCCGGCAGACCTTGAATAGTCACGACTTCAACTGATAATAAGCAGCTGATCTTCTGTTTCCCAATATGAGAAAGAACCCGAATTGGCTTCCAGTTCCATAGTCCGGATTTCTTCTCCGATGATGAAGAATCGTGTTTACTGTCTTGAAATAGATTCTTAGTAACTACAGGGTCTTTTTGACTGATTTCTTCACTCGGACGAGACTTCCATGGAGATAAGGACATTCTCCGTGATCGTGGCTTTGGATTAAGTTTGATCCCGTTGTCATGATCATCATCATCAGCACGATCGTTTTTCCCGGTGTTTAGAATCGGAGGGATGGAGGTTCGAGAAAGAACAAGAGAGTTGGTTCTTCGATTCTTGGTGGTTGGAATAGATGAAGTGTTGGTGTTGTTTAGTGTCTGGCTGAGAGCTTCGAGCTCCTGCAATAGTTGGGTGTTGGAGTTTCGTCTTTCTGGTTGGTTGTTTGTTGCCATGGTGGATGCCGGTGGTGGTAGTGGTGGTTGCTGGGAAATGGGAATAAAGGAGAAGATGGATTGTTTGTATTGGTGAATAGTGGCTGGTTTTTGTGAGGTGGGAATGTTGCCATGAAAGATTAGTTTGGAAGATAGCGGGTGGTGTTTTCAGGGCCAAGAAAATCGTGTGGGCATGGCATGTGAAGGATAAGGCAATTTAAGAAAGTTTTGACAGAGGTGGATTTGGTGAAAGAATTAAATGTTTGCTTCTCTACGACAAAAAGACTACGATGGGTGATGTTAGAATGGGTAAAAATCGTTATCCGTAATCATGAAAGGCACCGACCAACAAGTAGGAGTGTTCAGCCGTTCATGACAAACGGTCCATGATTTTCCACACTACTTACTATACACAACATAGAGAAGAGAGAGGACTCATAATATTTTAGGAATGCGATTTAATATATTATTTTTTTATGATAAGTAAAATTACAGATCAGTAACAATATTTGGGACAAAACGGTTAAACATTAAGCAACTTTTATATGATTTTTACAGATTATTGTTGGCTATAAATTATAATTGGGTTAATTTCATAGCTGGATAACGAAATTTCTAAAATTCCAAAAAACACCGCTGAATATAATTGAAAAAGGTCACTACAATGAACTACTTAGTATTTTTTTTTAAAATATCATGTTGACTTCCTATACTGTAGGTTTAATAGGTCAAACATACTTTTTGTTAATGTTAAATTCGGATAACGAACTAGTTAAAAAATGTAGTGTTTTCCAGTGAACTACTACTTGAAATGTTCAAAAAAATACTGTAGGTTTATAATGTCACGACAATGAACTACTAAGTTAAAATGTTCAAAATAAATAAATAAATAAAACAAAAAAAAAAACACCTATAATCTAAAAAATGTTATCAGTAGTAAGTTATTTAAAATATTCAAAAAATATCATGTGAACCTCTTTTAAAAACGACATGTTTATCATATTAAGTTTTCCAAATCGGAAATGTTTGTTCAAAACCATACCTAGAACTAAATGTTTGTTCAAAAAACACTTATAAACATGGAGCGTTTGTTAAAAATCGTCATCGACCACTTCAATATCAAGATTTGACTGAATTTTTTTTTCATCATCAAACCGTCCACTTTTATGTTTCTAAGTTGATGACTATATTTAATTATTCCATCTCAACAGCAGATTATATATTCATCTTTCCTATTATGTTTTTCTTTTGGAAATACTGAATTATATAAAGTAACAAAAATAGAAACAAAATATTACAAAAAGTACAAACTAAAGTTGGGTTCCCCAACCAAGTAACTAAATTCGGCTTTACTTTTCTACAACTATTAGAAAAAATAAATAAATAAATAAATAAATAAAAAAACCCTCGCTATATCAACATCACCAAAAACATCATATTTCTTAGGAATAGTCATTCCAAAAGTAAGAGAATCAGGAAACCTCCAAAGCGTCCAAAACGAAGTCCAGACCATTGCATCAAAATTCAAAGGTTTTTCGTTGACCACCTATCAACCAAACTGCCTTCACCCAAGTAATAAGAGAGCGAAAATTAAGAGGAGTTAGAAGCTCCAACCTCCACCAAACAACAATCAGAAACCAAAACTCAATAAATGAGGGGCGTCTAAAAAAACATGTGCGACCGTCTCACACAACCTAAGCCGATGAAACAAGTAATGGAGTCAACCTCAATATCCCTAGCTGAAAAATGCTCCTTTGATGGAATGCTCTCCAAACCGATATGCCAGAAGAGAATATTCAACATAAACATGTGGAACTGTCTCACACAACCCAAGTCGTTGGAACAAGTAATAGAGACAACCTCAATACCCCTAGCTGAAAAATGCTCCTTCATCGGAATGTTCTCCAAACCAAAATGCCACAAGAGAATATTCAATATAATAGGAAGTGAATTGTTCCACCCTGTCTCCCTCCCCTACCCTAAACATATGACTATCCAGGAACGTACATGAAGACACCGGGAATTCATTAGACATATAAGCAGCCAACATAGCCCATCACGTCTTAGAACTAGAATAAGCCCCTACAACAAAGATATGAAAGCATTCCACTAATCCTTCTCACCCACTCCTGTCAGATTCTATCTAAGGGAACTAACTTATGACCCCAAAGTAACTCGATGATCTCTATTTGAGATCTCCTTATTTCAATCCAAAGCATAAAATTGATTATTGTTGGATTAGGTGTCTAAGCCCATAACTATTTTGGTAGGTACTTGACCCGATTATGAACATGGTCCTTTTGGGTTGCATACACTCATGCAACTTGATAGGATGATAAGAGGAGAGAGAGTAGAATTTATTATATGAATAATAAATTGGTACTCGGAAATGGTTTTATTTATATATGACAAGTTTAATATATTATTTGGAAATCATATTATTTAATTAGTATTTATCAGAAATTAATTTAGTATTAATTTGGTGATCAAAAGAGACTGATTAAATAAGGGGACTGATATTGCAATTAACTGTTAGTTGCTAGTTGGGTTGATGGACTCCATAGAGTGGAGTGGACGAAATTTATGGGGAAGCCCATAAGATTTCATCCAAAGGGCTCTAAGGAAGGAGTCCATGGGCTGCTTAAGACTTAAGCAGACATTTAGCGTTTCCACCTAAAACCCTAGCAGCCACAAGTATAAATAGACCCCATGACTATGGGATTTTCGGCCAATGCTTCTAAGAAAGCCTAAGGGTCGAAAATCTTCCCTCTCTTAAAGTCATCTTGTTGCTTGAGTTTTTGTGACTCCATTAGAGGTGCAACACTTGAGGCACTAAGCTTTCAAGAGTCAAGATAAAGAAGGATTGTGATTGTTATTGCTACACAACAATCAAGGTAATGATTCTAACCCTAATTATATGTTAATTATGATTATAGTATGCTAGATCTAGGGGTTTTCAAGTCTTGGAAAATTATTGCATGTATAACTAGAATAACTAGATCCAACAATTAGGGTTTGCATGTACACCATAGGATTGATGTAATGCTGAAAACCCATTAGTGGTATCAAAGACTAGGATGTTCTTTTATTGTATTTGATGCATTGTATGTTTGTTCAAAGCTTGAAATCATGTTTTTTGGCTCTCTGACTGACAGACGCGGCGAGTCCCCGGAGGTACTCGGCGAGTCGGAGTGTCAGACAGAGGGAATTTCGGGTTTTTTGCCTGTTTTGACTTGGGATAGTTACCAAAATTGTTTTTGATTAATTAGATCCGATTTTTATTGATTCTATGTGATTATCCTTATCAAAATAGAAGATATTTGTCAAATAATTAAAATATATTGCCTTATATGATAAATCTTATTTATTTGAATTATTTAATCATTATCTTGAATGAAATTGGTATTAGGTCAAATTTAGATAATTACTGCTTATTTGATTAATTAAAATTATTTGTAATTTGATCTATATGGTTTTGAAAGGTTTCAAAACTTGTCCTCAAGTTTTGGAATTAAAATTTTTAACTAAAAGGTATCAATTTTGAAATATTAAATTTTAAAACCCTAGAGTTTTGAAAAGTTCAATGTACACCCTTATGGTTTATTAATCTAATTAAGAGTTTAATTAAGAGAGATAATTAATAAATCATAATTAGATGGTTTAAAATTAATCAAATTAAAAGACTAATTTATTAATAGTTTAAACCAACTATTATTTTAAAAGTGTAAAATACACCCTTATACTATATAACATTTAAATGTTTAACATATTATATATGTATGAGTAAAAAAAGTCAGTCTTACCGTTAGTAGGCTTCATTCACGAAGGTTGTCTATAAGGAGTGTTTAAGGAAGTGGCCTATAAAATGACCGCCATTGGGTATCCACTCTTACCCACCGCACTCTTGACTAGTAGAGGGTCATTAGTCGAACAGGTAGGATAGGACACAACATTCCATTATAAGTATAATGTAATGCAAGTAACTAAACCTTTTATAAATTCCCAAATCTTAGTTACTTTAGGAAAAATGTGGAATTGGTGCTAACCCATGAAATTACACTTTGCACCTTGCTGAGACGTTAGTGGAGCATATGTGGTTAACCAACACATTGATTAGGTTGGCAGAGGGTGACTCGATGTTTGTCATAGATCAATGGAGCGTGTGTGGTTAACCGACACATTGATTAGGTGATAGTGATATTGAGGGTACCAAATATATTTGCATGGTTATCCACACCTTGTTTGTGATCCTCGGCATCCCAGTCACGAACATGAAGGGCACAATTGAGATTAAACATTTCATTGAAAATTTCAATGAATCTCAAAAGATCTAGGAGTTTGAATTCATTTAAAACTTAAACTTCAATTTTTGTTTTTCATGGTTGAAATTGGTAAATCGTCATTTACCTACCTTCAAATGTTTTGCAGTTTGGATTACGACATCCATCTTCCAAGTTGTAGAATATTGTGTTGAGTTCTAGACTTAATATCTCATTTGGGTGTTTTATTAAGGACTCAATCAACTAACTTGAATTTCTCCCTTTTTGTAGATGTCAAAGTCTAACAACTATGGTCTTTCTGAATCCATCGGAAAAAGTTTTCCATTTGAAGATGATGTTCCACGATTAGCTCATGGAAATGAGAATCATGCTTTCTCGACTATGACAACCTAGAATTTTCATTCGGTCAAACCCTAAAGTGTGTTTATTTGGGCCATATTCCTTCCTTAGGCCTAAAAACTAACCTAGACAATTACCTTGATGAGTTAAGGACTTGAAATCATAACAATACCATTTTCCATATGGGTTTACGGTAGTAAATCCAAAGGGAAATGACCATGAGGCCGTAAACTCCTCAAAGGAGTGTTTTGTTGCCCTAATCCCTTCCAAAGGCCTAACCACCAAGTAGAAATGCTTCAAAGGACTTGTAAAACTTCAAAACAGCATATGGTCATAAAGTGTAGAGTTTATGACCGTAAACGCTTGAGTTTACTGTCGTAAACTCCTTGGGTAATGGTCATG